TGTTTTTTCAGGCGGTGTTCTACTAATATAGCATGAATTTTTAGTCCACCTGGATTTACTGTGAAACAGAAATAAATATATATATATATACATTTTTTATATATAAAATTAATTATTAATTATATATATTATATTATATAATATATATATTATATATATATAAAGGCCAGGAGGTGGTGGGTGGGGCAGTGCAAAAGATATTTTATCTGAAGGAAAAATAAGTCGCAAATAATTATTGTCAAAATAATGTTTCCATTTTATTTAACAAGATGACTCTGAATGTACACATTTGATTTATGAACACAGTGTAAAATATCTCCATCTTCCTTTCAGTCTAGTAATTACTACATAAATTCGGACATAAATGATGAACACGTTTTACATAAGAAAAGCAATGTGTGTGCTTCAGCTGATTCTGTGTGACTGTGGTGTTAGCTGGTTTTCCATATCTGTGGAAGTTTGGCAGGTGGGCATGATCATGTCCACTTCCCCAGTGCAGTCAAGTCAGACACACACAAATCAAGTGCTCGTGTGTGAGAGAAGCGTGCTGATCACAGCAAACAGTCATTCCTAGATGAAGTTATTAACTTACAGGTACATTTCCATACTCAGAAACATCCTTTTCTGCTGGTGTACAGCATTATATGCTTTCCTTCCACCGAATGTGTGAAGTCACATGTGAGTTTGTTGGGAATGAGAAAATTCACAGAGTCACAACAGCATTCCTTTTTCACCAGAATTGCAAAGGGCAAAGTATGACCCATGGTGACTCTAGGAAAAGAGCTACAATCCTTAGAAAGGGCAATGTCCCTTGTGCATTACAGACACATTGTACATGTTTTTGCCACAAAGCTTCTGGGATTTATAGGCTGTTGATGGGTCCAGTAAGAAGTAATATATAAAATTCCACTCTGTGAAAATCTGTTTTACTTGAAGAATATAGATTCCAACGAATAGCAAAACATTTACTCACAGTTCTGGGAAAAGTATTTACCGTTAGTTTCTCGAGCCAAAAATTGCACACAGGGAAAGAATTAAGCACGCTGAGGCTGATTCTCAGGGGAATCACTAACTTAACAGTTTTTCTGTTTATAGAGTAGTTGGTCTAATTACAAATGGATTTGTCTAACAGGGTCTCTACATTTGGTAGTGAAAGCTAGGAGGAAGCACCTAGTTTGGGGAATGAAAACCCCACATTAAACACTGCCTCCACTCACTGGTCGGCAATCACAGTCCCTCACAGCCTGACAATATTTGCCTCTCATGGAAAAATGACAGTGTCAGCTCAGGAAATGACAGGACAATGTATTGGTTAGATATTTTCTGGAACACCTGCACTATTCAGTTAGAACTATTTACTATTTTCAAATGAGTAAATATGCCAAGGGGCTCACAGCATGCCTACTAGACACAAATATACACAGTTATGGCAAGCTGATTGCAAGTCCTCTTAAAGTAACAGGAAATTTTGATGCAAAAAGACAGATGAAAATATAGGCTATAAATTGTAAAGGAGCCATATTCCGAGGAGGGTATTATTTGAAAAGCACAGAAGACTATTTTATCCAAGAGGGAATCACAAACATTAAAAATAAAATATTTGGTATTCTACACTATATTACAAAAATAAATATATCCATCAATAAATAGTAAGAAGCCTAGAAAATTTTACATGAATATTTTGGTTGTGGGCTGTCAAAATCCATCTGCTACAATCATCCTCAAGAGTCATTTAGGTGTATCAACTTCAGTGATGATAATTTTTCCATAATAGAGTAAAAAAAAAACTGGTGTGGGATGTAGCCAAGGTCTATGACCAGGGAGGACATTAGTGACCTCTATCTCCTAAGGATCTGACAATTTCATGGCTTCGTATTAGCACAGGGATGTGGGAGAGGTGAGACACGCTGCAAGGGGCCTGATGGAGCCTCCCATTTATGGTTTATGCCTTTGCATTTCTTGATGAGAAAAAAAAAAAAACAAAAAATGCAATTAGCAACATTTGAATAACCAATATGTGACTTTCTCTACTCTTTTTCCATAGTGAAGAAGCACATCATAGAAATGCAGATTATGTCTGGCCTCCAATTAAAGGACACACATCTGGGATACTCAGCCTAATCACTGACAGCCCAGGTTTTCACATCTCTTTAACAGAAAAGTATGCTTGCCACAAGGCTTTTCCCAGAACCCGGCTGAGTCGGCAGAAGGCATGAAGAAAGCAGGGCCTGGCCCATCTTAGTGTTCTAACATCAGCATGCTAATAGCAGTGGGGATGTCAGAGCCTGTACACGTGGCTTCTGAGAGCAGCCTGCCGAGTTCTCAGGAATTTTGCAAGCCGGTCGACATCACATTGGTAGCTTGAAATAGGCTATGGTGATGTACACCGTTGAAACCTACAAATCAGGATTGCTGGTTGTAAAGCATTTACCAGCACTTCACTATCTTATGTATTTTATACATAAAGAAAATTTTTCTGGATTTTTATCTAACCAGAACTATCTTGTTCAGTTGAGACTTTACTGTATGTCTATTACAGACAGTGTCCTTTAGAAAGGAGAAGCAGTACCATAGAGGAAATAAGATACAGTGTGTACCATGGATATAAAGGATGCACCACGTCCCACTGAGGGCTCTAAGTGTCACTATCCAAAGCCAGTTACACGTGTGCATAGACACACGCACACCCATGCACGCATTCACACCATCTTATAAGGAGGCTCTTTCATAAACCAATGATCTGGGTTGCATGGCCAACTCAAATCGTCAATCACTGTATACCACTGATGGTCAAAATTCCACTTTTCTGGGGCAGTGCTTTCCCAGGATCTGGCCTCTGGACATCAGTGGACAATGGATGTACAGAGCAGAGGTCCAAATTGGGCAAAATGTCCTTCTAGCTTCCCTTACCTCTATTTTCTAGTGCAATATGAATTTGTTACCCCAAGAGGTTTGTGAAAGGGAGGCTGATGGTTTCCCAGGGTAAAAAAGAATGCAAAAAAGAATGGGGTGAGTGGGGGACAATGTACTGGAAACCAAATTCCTAGAAGTATGAATCTTCAGTGTCGGCTTCCTGGAACAGTCAAAACAGTCTGAGAACTGCACTGCTCTGCTTCTTCCTGCACAAAGGCCCTGATATCACATGGATGGTGGTGCTGGGAAGAGCTAAGATCAGAGTCTCAGTGTCCTTCCATCCAGCCAACTGCTGGCAAACCCACTGGGCCATGTGTATCGGGAACCCTTTCCATTAGTCCTGGCACTTCTAGACTGGTGAGACTGTAGCATGGGAGAGTTGGGAAGCCGACCATGGGGCAAACCTGATTTCACAATTCAGGCTTAGCTTTTGAGTCATTAGCTTGTGTGTCTATTTATTAATTCACTTATTTAGATGTGTCTGTTTGGACCCTGGTTTTCTTTTCCTTATACGTAAGTATTCTTCATGAACAAAACATTTCATAAAGAATATAATTAGAATAAAATCAAATTAAATATTGGGAGGCAATCTAGAAATTAGAGCACTAACCCCACTCACCCTGACAGCAAATGCTTTCAAGTGTCCCCTCCCAACCCTCAGCAAGGGCAATGAAGGCCAATGAAGACAGGGACCACAAGAATGGCAGAAGGCTATGAGATGCATGAGCAAAAAAAGAAAAAGGGAAGGAAAGAAGTGGAAAGAAGCAAAAGCAGGGATGCAGAGGCAAGGGATAAATAGTAAGAATTCAGGAAAACTATTAAGAAGAGTCCAAAAAACAGATCCCTTCTGATTTTCCTCCTCTTGGTCTTGGGTAATTTTATTTTGTCCAAAAGATTTAAATCTCCAGTTAAAACTGCTTATAATTTTACAAACACATCCTAGGTTAGCGTCTATATCCTTTTCTCTCTTCTCCTGTGAGTACCTTCTCACCTCCTCTACCCTCTACAGCAGTAAAGGCCAACACACATGGCCTTGCCGCCTTGTTATCTCAAGAACATCCCGAAGTTCCCTCTGTTGTCATTGTTGTTGTTATTGTTTTTCCTTGACCAGGCGCTGCCCTCTAGAGCACAATGGTGTTCCAGGGGCTCATTCTTTGCTATTGTAGCTTAAGGCCACTGCCTCTTGAAGTCGTTTGGTTTCTGTATCAGATAACCCCTACTCCTAAACATGCAGCACCCTTTACCTGGTCCTGTTGGCCCAAGCAATGGCACAGACTCAACTGATGAAAGCTAATCTACATTTCCGGGCACCTGAGTAGTTCAGTCGCTTAGGCCTCGGACTCTTGGCTTCAGCTCAGGTCATGATCTCACACTTTGGTGAGTTCGAGCCCCACATCTGGCTGTGTGATGATGGTGTGGAGCCTGCTTTGGATTCTCTCTCTCTCCTCTCTCTCTCTTTCTCTCTTTTTCTTTCTTTCCCTCCCCTACTCACACTTTCTCTGTCTCTATCAAAATAAATAAATAAACTTTAAAAAAATTTTTAAAAAGCTACACCTACGTTTCCAGTAGTACTTAGGAAATGTAGTACTTCATAGGATGGTCAAATTCCTGGTGCAAATTATCTTGACATAAATCCTGCTCAGAAAAGAGTTGGTTGAGAATATACTATGAGTTTTTAATATATATACCTTTGATTGAGTCATGCTTATGTGTGAGTATAATCTACCTCTGTAGAACCAAGAGAGTTTTATAAGTTTATCCCTGTACACATATACATACTCAAGTATCTATCATCTGACACTCTATTTCTGCTTAGGGCCTTGTTTTCAAATTGACATAGAGGACAATTAGTGTGGCTTGCCACTTGCTATTGGAAATGGCATTGCCAGGAAATGGCAAAAAGAAAAACAGATTGGAAGGGATGAGACTGTATTAGCAAAATATGCATTTCTTACAACGAACTGACCTGCCCACGTCCCTAAGGCAGCAAGCCTCTATCATCTGTACACTCTTATTAAATAATCTCATTAAATAGGAACACAAAATATACACATTTACAGTTATTAAATTAGCACAGAACTCTTCTTCTATCTACAGCCACATTCAGAGACTGCCATGCCTTCATATTTGAACTTGTAGGTGACCACACCTTTGTCTAAGTAGAGGATGGAGATGGGCTCTAGCTTGGTGGGCACACAGCAGGCTTTGGAAGCCTTTTGGGAATTCTTGAGGTGGACCAGGGCCTGGATAATTGCATGCTTTGTGGGTGTGAGATGTTCTGCCAGGGGGTAGTTGCAAACCCCACGGCATTCGTAGGCTTCATATCCAGGTGGGGCGATGATCCAAGAGTCCCAGCCAATCTCCTTGAAGTCGATGTAGAGCGGGGTCCTCTTGCAGTAGTTTCCTTTAGCGTTCCTTCTGATGCGGGCAGTGGAGTCGTAGATGATGTTTGACCTCATCTGCAGCAAAGCTTCTTCTCCGGGTTCGCTGGAATAACCGTCCAGGCCCAAGTTGTCCAACTCCAGAAGTTGCTCATGGGCAATCATTTCATTCAGTTCCTCTGTCCGCTCCTTCTCGTTGCTTTGGTCATCAGAAAACACGACAATCAAAGGGACATGCTTATTCCGGGCACTGGTGTCTATTTCCAGTTGTCCCCTGTCAGCACCCTCGGCCCCGTCGTGTCTGCTCTCGATGTGGACCTCCAGCTGGTGGGTGGATGAACCTGACTTTTGCCAACGTCTAATGGCATCGGTGACATCAAAAGTCTCCCACTCACTATTGGTTCCATAGATCTCTCCTGACACCAAGACCAGCATGCTTCTTTCACCCTCACTGTCCCCTCTGCTCTCTAGTACCTCAAAAATGGTAATTTTCCTGTCTACTCCATCATATATCATGCGGTCTCTTTGCACCAGTGTGTACAATCTCAGTTCAGCCATGACAACTTCTTCATGGTGAGGAATTGACACATTGAAGAGGAGAGGGTATTTTCGGAGTCCGTTAAAACTGGCTGGCTGGGAAAACAGATCTGAACAAAAAAAAAAAAAAGACAAAAATCAGAATTGCAGTGTGTCGCCGAGAAAAGCAGGTGCTTATTTGGAGGGCAATAAGAGGGGCTGTCTTCATGAGAAGCTTGATACTGAGAAATCAATGAGAACAAGCACAACATTAGCATTCTCTGACAGAAAACACTGGAAATTCAGTGGTAGAATACTAAACTACTTTCGCTGCCAAGGCTAAGATGGAAAAAGGATGCCTGATGAATGGGATATCACTCTCCCAACCCTGCTTGCGTAGCTTATCAGCCACAGAATGACAGAGCTGGGAGGAAGCCTGGAGACTGTGTAGGCAAGCCCTCAATCCTTTTAGCCAGTAAGGAGCTGTCAAACTAGACATGGGGCGGTTGTTCTTTTTTGGAAGCTTTTCAGAGATGAGGACTTCATGGCTTTTCATATTTGCATTTGTAATAGGTGGAGATTCCCCACGTGGTTGGCTGAGCACAGGTCTTCCTAAAAGACCTCTATCTACTTTGGGGGTTGGTAAACTATAGCCCATTAGCCATATTGGGCTCTATTTCTGGAAATAAAGCCTGACCCATTTATTTCGGTGTCATCAGTGGCTACTATTGTACTACAATGGCAGAGTTGTGACAACACATGGCCCACAAAACCTAAAATATTTACTATCTGTCTGGCCCTTTACCAAAAGATTTTGCTGACTTCTGCTCTAGACACCAAAATCGGACAAGGTCAACAAAATAGCCATACACTAAGGGGTCACAGCAGATGAATTTTGGGTGTGCGGTCCTCAACAAGGAGGAACAGGAAGAAATGAAACTTGGGATAGAAGGTCTGCTTTAGTCTTCTACCCTTAGCAACCGGCATAGAGTTTGGCACGTAAGAACCACTCAGAATGTTTATGAAATAAATTTTGAAAAGTCCTTTAGTCTCGGAAGCATGCCTCCAAAAGTTACCATCTTGACTTCCTATCTGAGAATTTTACAGGAGCTTGCCCTCAGGTAATACATGACTACAAAATATCCCTGAAGGCATTTTTCATCCATCAAAGGGTTCCATGAAACCAGGACACTAAGGACCACCAATAGAGGGGTTCACTATCATCTCTGGCAGTGTTTTCCCAACTCTACAACCAATTCACGATTTTAGTGGGGTCCTTGTTCCAGATTGTACTCTTTAATATTTTTCTTTCACTTTATAAGATTTTTTTAAATACCCACTATCTCTTTTAGGTCTGTCCTAAGCAACAACATTCATGAAATGAGGGGATTGAGGTAATAGTCATGTGGGCTTTTTTCTGATTCACATTAATGAAAATATTTAATACGGTCTCTCATGATTTACAGCTTTCTCTGGGCACCACTTTAAGTCCTTTCAAACACCAATGCTGGGAAATACTGGTCAATGAAATGAATTTGAATTCTCTAGCATGGCTCTTAAAACTAGCTATAACCAACTCTTGAATGCTGAAAACAAATTGAGGGCTGATGAGGGTGGGGAAGAAGGGAAGGGGGGTGATGGGCATGGAGGAAGGCACTTGGTGGGATGAGCACTGGGTGTTATATGGAAACCAACTTGACAACAAACTATTTAAGGAAAATTAAAGAAACTAGCTATAACCAGGCCTTAACCTCTTGATCGAGGTATAGCTCCCATTCACCCCCTACAGTGCATGGAACGTTGTTAATTGGCTGACTGATATTTGTTGGAAGTTTAAATTGCAAAACTTCCTATTAAAAGTAGACTGAGGAGCACCTGGATTGCTCAATCAGTTAAGCATCCAACTCTTGATTTCAGCTCAGGTCATGATCTCATGGTTCGTGAGTTCAAGCCCCATATTGGCTCTGCACTGACAGTGAGGATCTCCCTCTCTCTCTCTGTTCCTCTCCTACTGTTCATTCTCTCTCTCTCTCTCTCAAATTAAATGAATAAATGAAAACTTAAAAAATAGAGTAGACTGATATCTTCACCATTTGCCAAAACATCCCTTTGCCTTGTGTATTGCACCTTTGGAGATGTTCCACTGACTCTTGGAAAGTCTTCTCCTCTCACCTCCACCTATCTAGCTGTGACCCCTCCTTGTGGGATTTTCCCCCTCTTCACCTCCCTATCTAGAAGTTCACTCCCTTCTAGGTCCCTTGAATATTTACTCTATATCTCTCCTTTGAGCTTTGCCATTTATATCCTTACATTTCAGGTTTATTTTTATGAATGGCTCTTCCCAAGTAGATTGTCACCATGCTGACAGGTACTGCAGCTTAAACTCCTTCTATCCCTCCATGCTACCACAATGCCTTAAACAGAGGGAACACTTTCAAAATATTGATTCATTGATGATTGTGAACGTCAGGTCAAATTGATTTATGGGCATAGCATATGTCCTTAATACATCAAGTAACTTGGGAGTTGTCCCTCTGGCTCTCCTTGGACAGGGAACATGAGAAGATCAAAAATAGGAGAGTAGACTGGTTGCTCCATCCACGACAAAAATGCAGAATAAAAGCCTACGGCAGGGGCGTTTGGGTGGCTCAGTCGGTTAAGCATCCGAATTCAGCTCAGGTCATGATCTCACGGTTTGTGTGTTTGAGCCCCACATCGGGCTCTGTGCTGATGGCTCAGAGCCTGGAGCCTGCTTCAGATTCTGTGTCTCCCTCTCTCTCTGCTCCTCCCCTGCTCATGCTCTGTTTCTCTCTGTCTCGATAATAAATAAACATAAAAAATTTTTTTAAAAAACAAAAACGCTTACAGTAGCGATGGAAGAGATTCCAAAGGAGCACAAGGAAACTTTGGGTGGTGATGAATACGTTTACAATCTTGACTGTGATAATGGTTTCAGCGGATGTTTATATATGTCGAAACCTATCAACTTACATACTCAAATACGTGTAGTTTGTTGTATGTCTATTATACTTCAATAAAGCCATTAAAAAATAAGTCCACTGTACATGTGCATATATACTAAGTAATGGATGGAGATGTTGCATTCTAGGCAAAGGAGCTGATGTCAGTTGAGCATATTTTAATGTTCCAGGTGTTTTGAAAGCATTGTTTTATTTAGTACTTACAGTGACCCTTTCTGCTATTGTGCTCATTTTACACCAGAACAAATGAAGCCTCGATGCAGAGGAGTGACTTCCGTGAAATGATGAAGTGAGTTCAGCAGTGGTAGGAATTAAAGTCATGTTTTTTCTACCTTAAAGGTGCACTTGTTTTCCCCTAATTAGTTAGATTTGGAGGAGGTTTTTTGTTTTTTGTTTTGGTGGGAAGCTGGAGGGATGGGTCTTTGTCTCCTAGACAGCTGCACTGTGCAGATCCAAAGCGCCAAAGGAGGGACAGTAACAGCCATTAGAGCCAGCCCAGTGCGCAATCCGCCTGCAGACTGGCAGAGGTGCCCGCAGCTGGGGTGTCCGCAGAGGGATACCTTCTGGTTTCTCCAGTGTCCAGTGATAAGATGCTCTGCAAACTCCACTTCCTGACCTGCATCATGCAAATCCTCCACGGAAGAAGTGAGGACTGAAAAAAACTCTTGTTTTCCCAGGGGATGTGAACATTTTCCCACCTGCACTCTCAGCCAGGCACCCAGGGCTAGGAAGGGTTCCCGTGGAAGGAAACTATTTATTTTCAATCCAGACTCATCCCCAAAAGGAATCTGTAATTTCAGTTTCCCATTTCCATTATGTTACTAAATGTTACTAAGTAACATTTCCAATGTGTTACTAAATATCTGAAATTTTGCCAGTTATCTAAATTTTAAAGGCACATGATGTCTTCAGGACTGAGCAACACCCACTTCACATTTCCTCCAATGCCTAGAACTTAAGGAATTCATTTGTATTAACTGACGTTCGTTCGGCAATTCATAGAAAATGCAGTGCTTTCTTACTCATAACCTCTTTGAAATAGCTCAGTCACGTTACATAGGTATATTATCCCCAATTAACAAATGAGCAAATTGATGTTCAGAGATATTAAACAAATTATCCAAAACCACTAAGTCAACCGTGTCTCAAAATGCCAAATCCTATGCTATTTCTTTGCTATTACCTTTCTGCTTCTAAGAACGTCTGGTCAACATCAATCAAAACCCTCTTTTGTACCTAGTTAATGACTATGGTAAATATTACAGAATTCATTTCTTTGAATCTACAGCTTTTACCATAGAGATGCCTACTAGTATCATATTGAATAAAAGACTAACTTGCTAGGTCATTAGATTTAGTCACTGGGGTAGATAACATAGTTTTCCTGCTGATATTTAAAGCTTGCATATTACTATTCATAAAGACATTGAAATAAGCTGGATCATTAACTGGGCCATGCATACTTCCTGCACATTATAAACAGTGATTCACGGATAAACACGTTACAGAAACATAACAAAACTTTAGGAAGAACTTCTAAAATACAAATTTTCATCCTGTCTGAATATTTCTTAATTAAGGTCAGAAAGTGGAAACTCACTCAAAGTTCAAATGAAGCACAAATGACAACTTTTGGGTTTTGTCTATTTTCATCATTTACATTCCGAGCAGAAGTTCATGAATTTTTAATCAATTAAAAGACAAACAGAAATTGAGATGTATCTGGAAAACGACACACATAAGTATTGTAGTAGACCAACATAATTTTTTTATTACTTGCTGTTCAAATTAAAAAATTTTAAAGACCCAATTATGATGCCAAAATGGCTTTGGATATAAAGATATTCTTTGGTACCTTTTAATAACATTTGGGAAATGACCATGAAAATGGTATAGACCCAAAATGTGCATTGTTTTTGAGTATCTGTGTACATATACCCTTATACAGATGCATTCACCTTTATCTATATAATTCCCACACATTGTAAATTTACTGATCTCTTCTTGACAAAAGTCCAAGCCAAATTTATCAACAATATGGAAACTTACCTTCATTCTTGAAACTCCTAATGATGTTGGCAGATGGCATGGAGGTCCGATCTGTTGCAAATTTGTTGTAGAGCTCCAGCATGTACTCTGGTGGGTCGACCTTGGCCGAATCCTGCGAAGGGATGTCGGATAGGTTCAGTGTCTTGAGGAATTCATTCTTCATGCTCTGCAGCAATGTGTTAAAGTCGACACCATCTTGCTCTGAGAAGACATCATCGAAGAGGGGCATATCTTCTTCCAGAGGCGACCGCTCCAGACTCATGATGGGGCTGCCAGAAACCGATTGAACCGCCAGGCAGACGAGAGCGTACAGCTGCAGGGCCAGAGAACCCATGACTCTGCTCAAGCCCCCAGGCCAACCGGGGAAGGTTTAGCTCTCCTGGGCTCTAAGTGGCAGTTTTATCCTGTAGCGCATTAATGTCTCGTGTCACTGGAGACAAGTTTGGAAACTCTTCCCCTCTTTCTCCCTCCCCCCTACCACTCTTCCTCTCCCCTCAAAAGTCAGGTTGCAGTAATTGGATAACAAAATCCCCTATAGAGGCCTAGCCTTTCTTATCTCCCCAGTGTAAACTTGTGCACCAGATTTTGTTTCTATCTTGCGATCCTTTTTTCTTTTAATGAGCATTTTGTAAACATTTCCACATTCTGACACTGGCAAAGAGATAGGACAATTTTCTCTTCACAGAAGCTCTGTTTCTTTTCCTTTCAATCCACTTCCTTTTGGCAGGAATGTCTAAGTTCTGCTTTTATGCGGTTCACTTTCACACATGCCTAGAATAGATATTAAGAATCAACCAGCGCAATACACATCAGTGGCAACACGTACTAATTCAAGTGATAGGGCTTCCATCCTCACATCAACATTTTGGAAGAAAGATCAAATATCCAACATCTCTAAGTTAAGTTAATAGATACAAATGAATTTATGTAAATTTTTAGAAGCTTACGTTTTTAGAAACAGGGAAGTATAAACTTTGTGGTCAAGGGCCTTTTCATACTGATTTAATCTGGCTAAATGGCTTTTGAAACATAGGGTGAGTGTTTAATTATAATAGCAACTAAAATTTCTTAGGTGCTTTCCTATAAACAGGCATTGTGCTAAGTGCTTTCATATATCACCAAATGTGCTCCCTATAATAACCCTATTCGTATACCCATCGCACATATGGGTCACCAAAATTCAATTACTTGCTAGAAGTCATGGAACTACAATGTGATAGAGTCAGAATTTGAACCTAGGCATTCTGACTCTTATAAAAAGGAGAAAACAGACTTTTCAACCGGTGTTCTCTGAGATTGGGGCAAGGGCTAAGTAAGCCCCAGCCTAGCCTTCCCTAGAGAGTCCATGGCCAGGAGGCAGGCAACGATTTGCAGCTGGACATGGAGCTCAGGTCCTTCGGCCTGGCGATGAGTTATTAGGATGGCCCAAATCTCTGCCAAATCCATCTGTGTGGCTAAGCCAAATTGATCAGGTGCTTTCAAATAAAATTTTGGCCAACAACATTATGAGGCAGATGAAAAATGCCAAATCCCTTTGTCTGAGAAACAGTGGTGAAATTGATAGGGTGCCTGGTTTAGGAAGGACAAAGCAAGTTCATCTCACATTATGGCCCAGTTAGTGGCAGTATTGGTGTGGTGCGGTATAGTGTGTTGGGTAGAAAACTCCAGGGAGTGCTCTCGCCCATGAGGTGGTGGGACTGGTGTCTCCTGCCTTGTTCAGTGCACTCCTTGCGCAATTACAGATCCCTGGCATGGTGTCCAGAAAGCTGGTTCCAGGTATTTGGTACACTGGAATACTCTTAGTTTCTGAGTTAAATATCCCTACGTTTACCCAAATAGGTTAGCTACAATATCTGCATGATCCTTTTTCCTGTAAATTCCCTACTCAGCCACCTTCTGATTCTTTCATCCCCTAAAATGCAAGTTTACAGCAATGTTTTTGAACTACCACAGAAAGACTTGTATTCTGAGGAAAAGTGTCTCCTCAAAATTGTCCATTTGTTTAGTAGTTGTTGATTTTGATTTGGTGCTCTATCTTGGCTAAGGCTCCTGCTCCTGTATTAGAAAGAGAATTGTAGACTAGAAATAGACCCTAACAGGTCCACAAGTGAGAGAGTCCAATCCACCCTGGGGATGGGCTTTAACATGAGGTTTCTGACAGCATACCAAGCGGGGCCCTTGTATCATGTCCTGCATCAAAACAAGCACCCGTTTCTCTTCACACACACACGGATGTCAACGCACACTCCAAAACTCTGAATGGCAGGCATGTGCGTGTAACTGCCTCAGGACAGCAGAGTAAGTGGCGGTACTTACAGCCCGGGTGCACTGGCTTCAAAGGTCAGGAGGAGGGACGGGCATCTCACGTCACAGAGCTCCAGCTTTTTGCATTCTTAGGGGAAAGACATGCAGCTGAGATTTCCCCGAATTCCTTATAGTTGGTGTTGGAGTAACTGTTGGGGTTGAACATCTGGTCTGGTCTCTGCATCAAAAATGTTTATATTTTTGGCTGACTTAAATATAAAATAAGAAAATGTCTATAACCACATCTCAATGCCTATGACTTCTTGAAATGCAACGTCCCTAAGCCCCACCTCTGTGCTGGGGATGGACAAGGAAGGAGATTGGGCTCCATGCATGGAGGAGAGAGGCATAAGCCTTCACCCTCATCCAGGCCTGGAATACCTTGCATTTTAGCTGCAATGTCTTTATCTGCACGATTTTACGTAGAAGCTTCTCCTGATGGCTCTCATCTGACTTTAAAAGGTCCAAATATCTCCACATTCCTTCCCCTATCTTGATTTTCAGGACGCAATCTGTTCTATTACTTTGCACTGTCTCATTATTTTGGATCCCTTTCATTTGGAATGTGTTATAATCCGTTTAGAGTAGATGGAAGATGACTATTTTGCTGAGTCAAAGATAATAGGCATGTCTAGATGTTTTAAGAGAAACTCCATGGATGGAAGGCGAAATATTAACTAACATCATGCTTATCAATTCCACCACAAAATGCTTCAGAGTCTCCGCTTTACAAAGTTGTGGGCCAACTTTTAAGACTGGTTCTAGTAACTGTACATACTCTAAGGATCTCACTGAACTCTATTGGATTTTTCAAAGGGATCTGTGATCCAGGGAAGGTTAGATCCCTTGGACAACACCCATGTGAATGTTGCTATTCCCTGTTAGGACTGAGCAGGTCCTGAAGAAATGTAATCAGCAAAATTGTCTTCACTGACAAATGGTCACTAAAATTAGATCTTTGGACATGACTCCAGGTTTTTGGAACCACTTCCACTCTGGACTCCACTTCAGAAGCCTGATACTACTCTTGCTACTTAGGAATTTTCAGGACTTTGAGGCATACCTTCTCAAACCACGTATGGTAATAAAAATATTTAGCAGGCCATGTAACAGGTCCAAGCCAATCGAAACAGATACAAGGTAGAGTGCCAGAGCGGGAGCCTAGAGGCCTCAAGCTTCACTTAATGAGCTCTAGGTCTTGGGGAGTTTGGGGTGGGATACTGGTGGAAGGGCTTGGGAAACAGCTATTTACCAAGCTGTATGGAATATTACAGTTGTACTATGTATAACAGGTGCATGTAAGTATTGCCTAAAACTGCTAAGCCAGAGCTCTGCAAGCTACAAGCCATTAGAATTTGCTAACTGTACATGAGCATAGACAGCCTGCACTGATTACTCCCTTGCCTGCCACTAGAATCTGCTTTCTGGCTGCCTCTCATTCCCCAGCCCAGATCTTTCCCATCGTACTGAGACTTAGGAAACTATTTGGGCCGCCTTTGTCCCTCGGCCGGTTCAGAGAGCTCCTGCTCTTCTCTGATATCATCTGCCCCAATGTCTCCTCGAAGATTGGAAGCTGCCTCGACAGTGACATTTCCCATCAATTCATATTTCAGAGTCCACATTTTCAGTCAGGAAAGTGTTTCCTTGCTTCTTCTGAGCCCTCAGCATTTAGGTTGCTACTCACCTGAGGGTTATCAGTCTACCAAGTGGTTCTCACACAGCAACACACAGGGGCCATCTCCTCAACTCAGCTCCTCCAAAGTCTGTGGTTTAAATACTCCCTTTCTTCCTTCTATAACCTTCCACATGAGCCTTTCATTCACCAATCAGGCTTCTCATGTGAATATTCATCAACAATTAGGCTAGTGATAGGGGCACCTGGGTGGCTCAGTCAGTTAAACATCCGACTTTGGCTCAGGTCATGATCTCACAGTTCCTGAGTTCGAGCCCTGCACTGGACTCTGTGCTGACAGCTCAGAGCCTAGAATCTGTTTCAGATTCTGAGTTTCCCTTTTTCTGCCCCTCCCCTGCTCATGCTGTCTCTCTCAAAAATAAATATGCATTAAAAAGTTTTTTTCTAAATAATAATTAGGCTAGTAATAAAAAAATTCAGTCCTTTGTCACAGTTTTCCCCTCAAGATTTCTCGTACATACCTACTATATGCCAGGTACTGTTCAAAAAAACACCTAAAGAAAACAGACCAAACCCCTGACCTTGTGGAGTTTACTTTCGAGCTGGGAGAAGAGAGACAATAAACAAATATGCAACTGAACTGAAGTGTCAGTTGGGTGGTGATAAATACAGTGGAGAAAAACAAAAGTAAGAGGGCAAGAAATGCCAAGGAGAAGGGGCAGCTATTTCACTGTCAAGTCTAGGAAAGGCCTCCCAAATGGAGGCAAGGGAGCCAGCCATGCAGGTCCATGAAGAAAGAGCATTGCAGGCAGAGGGAACAGCCCATGCAAAGACCCTAAAGTGACAGCATGTTTGGGAGGCTCAAGCATCAGTGAGAAGGTCAGGATGGGTATTAAAATCAAGTAAGGGGGAGAGTTACAGAAGATGAAGTCTAAGAGAAAGCAGGGGCTGGACCACTTAGAAGGTCCTGGATTATTTTTAATAGCCTTACTATACAGATACATAACTTTGCCTTTTCCTTTTTGTCACTGACCACTTACTTCATCTTAAGGGTTTTTCACGTTGCCACAGAGTCTTCACAGCCAGTAATGTATTCATAGTATTCATATATTTGTTTCCTTGAAATGTGGGTCTGAAAAAGAGAAATTATGGAGTGGTCAGATAACATTTATTCTCCATAGAATGCCACCAGTCTCAGAAATATATGGAAACTAATAGTCTGTGCCACATCACCTCTTTCCTGGATTGTGGTAATAGGCTACTAACTGCTTCTGTCCTCACCTCCTAGCAGTTTATTCTCAACCTGGCACCTAGATCCTGATATGACATCATATCATCACTCCTTTCCTCACTCAGAGAAAAAGACAAAGTCTTACAAAAGCCCACATGGCCCTCCA